GCATGCCTGTAGTCCCAGCTACTTGGGAGTCTGAGGCAGAAGGATTGCTTGAGCCCAGGAGTTTGAGGTTGCTCTGAGCTAGGCTGACGCCACGGCACTCTAGCCCAGGCAACAGAGTGAGACGCTGTCTCAAAAAAAAAAAAAAAAGAATGCACAAAGGATCTGAATAGACATTTCTCCAAAGATATACAAATGACCGATAAGCACATGAAAAGATGCCCTACAAGATTACTCATCAGGGAAATGCAAATTAAAGCTACAATGTGATACCATTTCACACCCACCAGGATGGCCAGAATCAGAAAGTCAGATAACAAATGTTGATGAGAATGTGGAGAAACTGGAACCCTCATACACCACTGATGAGAATGTAAATTGGTGCAGCCACGTTGGGAAACAATCTGGCAATTCCTCAAATGATTAAACATAGTTATTATCATATGACCCAAAAATATACCATTCCTAGGTATATACCCAAGAGAAATGAAAATGTTATGTTCACACTGAAACTTGTACATCAATGTTTTTATCACAGCATTATCTTTAACGGACAAAAGGTCTTTCTAATCTATTAACTCCACTTGTTCAGTTATGCTATGGTCTGAATATATGTGTACCCACAAAATCCATATGTTGAAACCTAACCCCCAAAGTAATGGTATTAACAGGTGGGGGGCCTTTGGAAAGTAATTAGGTCATGCATGCACTCATGAATAGGATTAGTGCCTTTATACAAGAAGCTTGAGAGAGTTTGTTAGCCCCCTTTTGCCCTTTCAACATGTGAGGGTACACAGAAGGGGCCATCTATGAGGAACAGGCCTTCACCAGACACTGATTCTGCTGGCACTTTGATCTTAGAATTCTCAGCCTCCAGAACCATGAGCAATAAATTTCTGTTGTTTATAAATTATACAGTATAAGGTATTTTGTTATAGTAGTCCAAATGGACCAAAACAGCTTACTTTCCAAACTTCCAAATTTTTATTATCATTTTCTTTTTTCCCCATTCTCCCTATCTTTATGGATGTATACCCTAAAATCATTTCTATTACCAATTTTTTTTGTGTGTGGATTTCTGGAAAGAATGAAATTATTTGCATGGATTTGCTCTCCCATCTTTGGATAGAGATTGTTTAACAGAAATGTTTGTGCATAGATGTAACTTACACGAAGTCTATCCTGGTTTTTTGTGTTCATAAAAATTTGGCTATTCTGACATGACCTCTAACTGATTCATGTCGGAATAATTAATTTTTTCTGGAGGAGAAAACATACCTGGAGAAGAAAGAAAACTCTTTCAATACCAGGAAATAAGAATCTTAGAAAATTATTTTTATAATTTATATGAAAGACAAGGTGGAAAAATATAAATTGCTCAAGTATGCAATTATCTTATTCATTTAACATATGCTAACTGGCAATACAGTGCTGGCTAGGCTATGTAAAACCAACAGAGTTGTTTAGCCACAATGTTTTGGAGTAGTTTGTTACTCAGCAATACATTGGCATAACTAGTTTTATTCTTAATGCTTTAGTTTATGCTACAATGACAGAAATGAAATAAAAACTGGGATATATCACACTTCTAGTGAAAAAATTAAGTTTATAGTATTATTTTCACTTTTGGTACATGTTCATGCTCAATTAACATATCCTGAGAAATATGTTTTGTCTTTATTGTTTTCAGAACTTAGCAAAGCTATGCATGGACAGTAGATACTCAAATACCTGTCAACATACTTACCAGTCAATGGAACCCATATATTATATCCTAAAAGTTAAGATTTGCTCCTTTTTCAAAGTACTAAGTGCTTATTGAATCTTTTTTTACGGCATTTTCTAACTGGTAGGCTCTAACACAATTCAAAGAGATTACAGATAGAACACTATTATTAAGAGTTTAAAGATTTTTTATAACCTCAGCATACTTACAGCCTACATGGATTTAGAATTAGAGCCACACTTGCCAGATACTATTTCTTCCAAATACTTATATCCAAAGTACATCTAAATTTATGTACTGTTAATATTTAATACTTCACCACTTTTCATGAATCCTTCAAAATATAGGAGAAAATAAAAAAGTACCTTTAATCTTGCTTCGTAGATATTTTAGAACTTCTTGGGTTCCTTTCTAAAAGGGTGGAGACAAAGATATTCACCAAGACATATCTTGCAGTTTTATAGATCAACATATATGTCTGAATTTAAATTTAAAAATGCAGAGCTGAACTCTAAATATACTTACATTTATAATTTCTCTTCGAATCGTTCTCAAAGGATTTCCCTCTAGTGCTAGGAATTTCAAATGAAGGTTTCCCAATGAATACGGCAGACTACAAAACATTAAGTTGATTTCAGGGAAAACATTAAATATAAGTATAATTCAACCAAATAGTTGTAAAACTCACAACATATGACAAACAATATATCATATAATAGTCTCAAAGAAGGGCCAAGTAATGCAGACCTAAAATATTTCCTTTTAAGATAAATGCTAAATATGTAAAAGAAAAACCAGATTTGTTTTCAAAATTGTCATATTGAGATTGCTAAAAAAAGAATGAGCAATAAAACATTTGCTAAATTGTGTCCAGTGCCAAAAAGTAATGTTAAAATATAAATTTGAATGAAAGTGATTCAACATAGCCATCCTCGGTGATACTAAATGTTTTGATTTTGCACTTCAAGCAAACAAAATTCTTTCTAAATGAAAAAGATGAAAAAAAATCTTTTATCACCCAATTCATGTTTTTCTTCAATAAGGAAAGTCATTTTTATCTTTGGCACAGAAAAAGATAATCCACTTATATACATAAATATTTAATCTCAATAAAATTTATTAAGGATCTACAAAATACCAGGCATTGGTATAGGGATATCAAGATTCTTGTCTTCTAGTTCTCGATTGAACAAAGGAAAAAAAACACATATATAGCTAACGAATACATGATAAATATTAATAAGAATTATCTTATGTTGTTAGTGAGAATATAAAATAGTATAACCACTTTGGAAAGTGGAGTTTTTCAAGTTAAACATGTATTCACCATAGAACTAAGCAAACCGCTCCTGCATATTTACCCAAGAGAAATGAAAATAATGTCCACACAGATACCTGCACACAAACATTCACAATAATAAAAAATTGAAAACAACCCAAACATCCATCAACGAACTAGTGAAGAGACAAATGAACTGTGGTATATCTGTACAATGGACACACAGCTATAAAAATGAATTAACTGATACACACAATCACATGAATAAATTGCAAAAAACGTTATGATACATGAAAGAAACCAGACACAAAAACTATATACTGTCTGATTCCTTTTCTATGATATTCTTAAAAAGGCAAAACTACAATAATAGAGTACATCCGTAGTTGCTAGGGGCTGGGGGTATGGAAAAGAAATTGACAGTAAAAGGTATGAGGAAACTTTTTAAGGAAATATAAATTTCTACATCTGTGGTCCCCGACCCCCCATGGCCTATTAGGGGCCTGGCTGGAGAGCTCTGCAGCGCCCTTTCCCCACCCTCTCCCTTCCATGGAAAAATTGTCTTCCACCAAATTTAGGGAACAGAGGGGAGGAGGGTGGAGGCACCGCACAGCAGGAGGTGAGCAGCAGGCAAGCAAGCAGAAGAAAACTTCATCTGTATTTACTGCTGCTCCCCATTGCTGGCATCACTGTCTGAGCTCTACCTAACTCCCTCCCCCACCTACTGCTACCCCCAACCCCCATCTGTGGAAAAATTGCCTTCCTTGAAACCGGCCCCTGGTGCCAAAAAGGTTGGGGACCACTATTCTACATGACTGTGACTTGGTTACAAGAATGTATACGTTTACCAAAAGTCATCGAATTGTATACTTGAATTGGTACATTTTATTGTATGTAAATTACATATTAACAAATGAATATGATATAAAAAACATATATAATAAAACAAAAGCTAAACAAGTTGCTACGAGGGTAGAGATATAGAAATTGGCAGGGGATTAAGGGGGAGAAGGGAGTAGCAAAACCTGGATTTGGGCTTAAAAAGAATGAAATTCTACTGGGCAGTGAGACAAGAAAGGAGTATTCTAGGGTAACAGGCAAAGGAATGAAATGAAGAAAGGATTAATATTATTGATTAAAATTCAGTGTAGTCAGAGATCAAGATACCTGTAAGAGTGAACGATGATAGAGAATGAAGCATGATTATGAGACATCCTTGAAAATTAAGCTTAAAAAGTCTGGACTTTATCTTACAAGACAGTGGTTCCCAGTTGCTAGTTGGAAGGTCAGAAGCATCAAAACTTTCCAAGAATTATTTTTTTTATAAAAAAACAAAAACTAAAACACACTTCGGGGTCTCATTGTTAGAGATTCTGGTTCATTGGTGCCTCAGAATCTGTATTTTTTTCTTAATGTTTCTCAAATGACTCTGATACATACCTATATTTGGAAATAGTGCTGTGGCAATGAAGAACCATCAACGCTTTTTAAGCAAAAGAATGACCAGATAATTAGCATTTTATAAAAACTACTCTAGTACCTTGTTGGAAATCAATATTTCAGTTAGAGGAGATTCTGGAGGGGTGCAAAATGACTAGAATTATCTAATACCTCAGAAGTATTGGGTTAGGGGAAAGAAAAAAATATTTACTAAATGCCATTATGTTCTAGGACCTTTATATCCAGAGCTCTGGAGAGGGGAATGTACATATATCAGAAATATTTATACTAATTACTTTATTTAATTTGGGTTCAGTTTTGTTTTAATGTTTGCTTTCCACTGCTTTCATGCAGTAGACAATAAAACTGCCATGGAGAAAAATATATATGTCAATATTTATGAGAGGTGAGAGTATTTCATTCATTACTTGTAGGAGGAAGCTCTTTTAGGGATATTAAGGTCACTTATTAATTCTGTCATATATGAGTAAAAAATATGGTCACTATCTAAGTATTCAAATCTATGGTCAATATGCCATATGTATATTGTGAAAACAATTCTGATTTTTAAAAATATTTATTAAAAAATACACATACAACAAAATCTGCTTTGCCTAACTTGACTCCTTTTGGGAATACAACCCATCTTTCCAGCACCCAAGCTCAAAACCTCAGACACCTAATTGGCGTATAATCCTAGGTAAGTCTGAGTCTTATTTTTTGTATCTATAAAATAATTCCATCTCTAAATTTTATGGTTCTATAACTTGTTATGATTCTTTTCTGACTACCCTCCTCCTCCCTATCTTCAACATAGCCCATCAGCTGCTAAACAGTACTTATTCCAACTCCTCACACCACTCACATCTGTCCTCTTCTTTCCACTCCCATTGCCGCCACAGATCAGGTCCTCATTACATAAGAGAAAAATCTACAAAGCTATCAATACAGTGAATTGGATACAGCAAGTTCTTCTTAGTGATAAATACTATTAATCTAATAGAGTTTTATTTAGATTTCCCACATACAAAACCACTCCTATCCAAGTATCCAACCCGCTACCACCAATGTATTTTTTAAAATGAGATTATGATCAAATTAGTTCTTTTCATAATTTTTCTATAGCTCCCTACCTCTTAACTAACGAAAACTTACTCTTCAAAGGCATTTCAAGGCCGTCTTGCACATGGTCTCAACTTACTTTCCAGGCCATGAATTCTCACAGCCTCCCCACTTGTGCCCTATTTAGAATTCCCAAAACATGGTGCTATTTCCTTTTGCCAAGAGAATCATTCTCACTACCTTAAATGTGTACTTGAAAATCCTAGCATTATGGTGGGACTAGAGTGAGGCATGACTCTGAAAGTGAATATGTTCTTAAATTTTGTGCTCTAGGCAATTAACTTGCCTCACTCTAATTCTAGTCCTGAAGATCATCTAAAAAGTTATTTCTTCTATGAAGTCTACTCTAATTCCTCTCAGTAAATCATGATTTCTATAAATCCTTTAAGCCCCCAAAGCATTTTATATCTCTTTTATGGCTTTGCATTCATTTAACAAATTCAACAAATATTTATCAGGCACCTTTTCTATGTGTTGAGGCACTGATCAAGGAGTTGGATATAGAGCAGTGAACAAAACAGATAAAAATCCAGGCTTCCAAGAGTTTAGTTCTAGTGGGTTAAAGTAATTTGTAAATACATCTGCTTCTGTTAGCATATCAAGCTTGCTGCCAAAAAAATCTGATTAATCTTTCTTTATCTGCACGTGATCCCTGCTCAATCAATATTTAGTGAATTCAGTTAAAAAAATAAATTCTCATGCTTTTTGTGAGTATTTTAATTTATGAATTCTAACTACACACAAATATAATTGCTATGCATTTGATCTTTAAACTTACCTGCTAATATCATTGTTGCTTAGGTCAAGCCTTTCCAAAGATTGCAGTAGTGTAATTTCATCTGGAATAGATTTTAACTTGTTATCCCTCAGGTCTAGCACAAGGATAGAATTCAGATGCTTAAGATGTTCTGCCCTTAACATTTCAATCTGGTTTTCACCTACGTGCAATTCCTACAAAACCAAAGACTGGTTAGTGTATTTCTGTATTCAATTTTATACTGAATAATGAACATAAAATTGTGGGTACTCTTAATTTCAAATTTTTGAAAAACCCATATAAAAGATACAACTTTCTAATCACCAAGGTGTTTAAATTTTCAATTACATTTAAGCTATCTTACAACTAAAGGAAAATAGCAAGGGAGAGAACTTTCAAGAATTTTCTGGCAATTTAAAAATAATTAAAAGTTGAATCTGGCAGAAATATCAAGTTTACAAAACGAAAGCAGAGAAATGATTTAATAATTACATTTATAGAATAAAAATACAAATCCAAAACTATACTGATGAAAAATTAGTTTCAAAACAAAGCAATATCAGTTTTAAAAAGTTATTTGTATTATACAGTTGACCCTTGACAACGGGGTTTGAACTGTGCAGGCCCTCTTATAAGCGAATTATTTTCAATAAATATACTGAAAAATTTGGGGGAGATTTGTGACAATCTGAAAAACTCACAGATGAACCATATAGCCTAGAAATAATGAAAAAATTCAGAAAAAGTGAGGTATGTCATATATGCACATATGTAGATACTAGTCTATTTTATTATTTACTACCACAAAATCACAGAAATTTATTTTTAAAAGTTAAAATTTATCAAAACTTATGCACACACTTATAGACCATATGTGGCACCATTCAGTTGAAAGAAATATAAACAAACATAAAGATGCAGTATTAAGTCCTGACTATATAAAATTAACTGTAGTACGTATTGTACTACTGTAATAATTTGGTAGCCACCTCCTGTGGCTATAGCAGTGAGCTCAAGCGTTGTGAGTATTCACTTAAGACACTGTGTGATACTAATCATCTCCATGTGAGTAGTTCACCTCTTCAGTATGTTGTGTATCACTGTGAAAAGTCTCTCATGTATTTTTTCATAGTTCTGATGTATTTTTCGTCATGTTTGCTGCAATACTATAAACCCTGAATAACAACATGGCACCCATACAAGATGCTGAAAGTCTCCCAAGGAGAGAAAAGTCCTAACATTGCTTGAAACATACCATAGAACGAGGTCTGTAGCTGGCGTTGCCCACCATTTTCAGAAAGACAATTCATTTTGTAAACAGATGACATAAACTTATGGTATTGATAAATACAGTACTGTAAATGTATTTTCTCTTCCTTATGATTTTCTTAATAACATTTTTTCTCCAGCCTACTTTATTGTAAGAATATGTATTATACATATAACACACAAAATATGTGTGTTAACATGATCGACTGATCATGTTATCAGTAAGGCTTTAGGTCAACGGTAGTCTATTAGTAGTTAAGTTTTTGAGGAGTAAAAAGTTATACGTGGATTTTCAACTGCACAGGGGGTCAGTGCCCAAAACCCCCGCATTGTTTAAAGATTAGCTGTAATCAGTTTGTTATTTAACATTTTCATTAGTGATTACACTATAATCATATACTGATTTCCCATTAAGAGAATCTACAACTAGCAGATGGAAAATTAGTCAATCTTATTAAAGAAAAACTTGTCCGTTCTTACTATCACCGTCACCGTTCTGTTTAAAACTCTTTTAACACTGATGCATAAAGGTATATATAAGGAAAGCAAAGCATGTCAAATTTAGAAGACAATATTAATGCTATATACTTAAAGCCAAAAGAAAATAAATTAATTTTAAACAGACTTGATTATGATCAGCTAAATGTGAGAGGTGGCAACTTAGGATTAGGTATATATTCCCATACTCCTTCCTACAGTACAGCCCCAACTTACCATTTTAGCCTCATTATCTATTCATACTACTTCTCCAGTTATAAACTACTCACTACATGAATGGACAAATCTCTGTTTTTTAATTATTTCTTTTAAAAAATTTATTACTAAAAAAACCATTAATGTCAGCAGTGTTATTAAAATTCTACAAAATATTAACACAGGGAAAACATAGTACTTATAACTACTAATACATATTCCCAATGTAAAACAAGATTAGCTCCTTTTTAAAAATTCATTTACATAATTTCCTTTTGGAAAATATGTGTTATTAATAATCAACTAAATAGTACCTTCAAAAGTCTACAAGAAGGAAATTCTGGTAGAAAACGTAATTTATTCCTCCACAAATAAAGCAATTCCAGTGATTCCATGCCAGCCAACTCAGGAGGTATAGTTTCCAAGAGATTTGAATTACAATCCAACTGCTTTAATCCTGTAATACATATTCAGTGAAAAACGAAAATGCTTTAATAAAGAAAAAAATACTAGTTTCTGATTGCATACACCTTCAAAGAATGTGTAAGAAATCACCACAAGGACTTATGAACCTGTGCCATTGAAACCACTACAATAATGAAGAATACTCAAATATCAATGAACAAAATAAATGTAAATTAATTTTTTTACATTTAATTATAATTAAAAAGAAATATTAAAATGAATATTTAATAATAGTACAGGTCATCTCTGTAATGGATTTAAAAAACAAAGATCTCTAATACTCCACTAAAGTAGTCTAAAATAAAATGTATACTATTATTATTTCCCTCAATTATTATGCATCTTTAAAAAGAAAAAGCTTAATGTAATTAAAGACATATAAATGTGGAAGCATACTAACTGTATAAATGGATGTCAAGAAACTCTGACTAGTACTGGCTTAGACACATCTGTATTTTAGGCAAGTTGACTTTTCACCAAAAAGCCTTGGATTTCTGTATGGATTTCTTCTATCCATCTATACTGCTTCCTTCTCTTTCCCTGTCTCTTTTCTTCCTTTTTATTTTTTTTTTTTAAATTACATGGTATATCTAATACCTAACACTCCTGCTAAGAATTTATACTACAACTTTAGAAGAATGTCCTTACTTGCAGCATCTCTTATGTCCTAGATCTTTCTTTCTTAAAAAGCAAAGCAGAAAACAAAAATGGGGAAAAGTAAAAGGCTTCCTTCCCTTAAGACTTTGAAGAGTGGTTTTCTCCCTAATCCATATTACAAATTCTTCCATTTATCATAGCCACTATATATTCTTCACAACTCATTTTCAACCCTCTAATTTGAATAGCCAATATGCATTTTACAACTTATTTTCCTGTACTTTGAGCCTGTCAAATTTAAAATAATTCATGACTGGGTGGATGTACTACCTTAGATTGTTTTTCTTTTGCTATATGAAAAAGCTAACTGCTTTTGAAAACACATGCGGTACCACTTTCAACTAATAATATAATTATTTATATATTATTTGACTAGAGTATTGAGGGAAAAAGTCACAATCTGATCTACCCCAAATCCAGTAAATTCTCTATTAAAAAAATTTGTTTTAGAGTTAGAGACCATGATTTTCACAAATGTTTGCATTCAAGAGCACTGACTGAGAACACAGCAGTAGGCAGTGGAAAAAGCAACAGGGATGGAGTCAGGATTCAAGCTCTAGCTCTACGATTTACAGTATAATTTCTAAGCCTGTGTTTATTTTTCTAAAAAAAGATTGACAACCTGGGAACTCAGGCAAAACAAGACCATCTCTTGACATTATTACTTATGGATCAGGAGGACACTATAGCTATAATATAATCATTATATCACAGGTAGATTCGCCTGTGAGAGGGGAATAGCCTCTTGATCAATGAATGAAGAGAGGGCATAGCTCAAAACCTTAATCAGTTTCTCAGGTATGTAATTTTAAGATTATAATTATATTTTCTTTTCTTCTTTTTGATTTGCCTAAGTATCTTTATAAAGCTAACTTTTTAGGCAGTTGCTAGACAATAACGATCTGGAGAAAATCTGACTAGTTGCTATCGTTTGCATTTACCGCCATAAAAATCTATTACTTTATTTCTCTGTAAGTATATTAAAAATTATTTTTCTAAATGCAAGTTGCTCCAACTTCAAAATCATGTATTTTTTAAAATAGAAAAGATTTACTTTTCATTCTACTTATTTCTGCTGGCAAATTCTTCAGTTGATTACTGGAAAGATTGAGTCGCACCAGACTGGACAGAGAAGAAAAACTAGCAGGAACAGTTGTAAGATGATTATTCGAAAGATCCTTTAAAAGAGACAGAAATATTGAATGAGTATATAAAAAAATAAATGAACCCCAAATGGGATTTCAAAATTTTTTTATTTTTTTTTAGAGACTGAGTCTTGCCCAGGCTGGTTTCAGACTCCTGAGCTCAACCAATCCTCCCACCTCAATCTCCCAAGTAGCTGGGACTACAGGTGCACGCCACCACGCCTAACTTCTAGGATTTCAAAATTTTGACAGAATTGCAACAAATAAGAAACTATTTCAGAGGGGTTAAGCACTATAACTCTCTTTCACTGAGAATTTCACAGATCATCACTCATTGCAATATTCTTTTTCAATATCTGCAGGCCCACTATATGCCCATCAATGAAGTAGACAGGAATTAGAATGAATTCTGACCTCGAAAATATTTCACATAAAGGTTTCTGTTAAAACTAAGTCATGCTATGTCATGCATCATGTTTTCAATGCATAAATCCATTCATCCAATATTTATTGAGTACCTATGATGAATTAGACACATTATTGATAAACTTTATATGAAATGAAAAACATCCTTTGCAAGAAAGAAAAATTCCTGAAAGAAAGAAAAATAAAGCTGACAAATAGCCCTTTAAATTTTTGAGGAAAAAAAATGTTTTCTCTTGGTTCTTTAGCTGACCTCAGCTAGTCTGCTTTGACTAAGACCAGAGGTCTACTCTTTACTTTTCACTCATTCAAGTTTGGTTAATTAATCTCTATACTGATTGTTTCTTTAAATCATTATGTTTGTTTTGTCTTTCAGCAGTTACATGAGAACTTTTCTTTGAATCTCCATTCAAAAGACATTGTTATGAGTCAGGTCATTTTTATAAAACTGAAATAGTTATAATACTCAAATTAGATGTAAAGTGCTCCATTAGCTATTAGCAAAGTGTGAAGTAGAGCCAATGGCAGCAATGAATTATTATAGAAAAAATAACCGAAAGGAACTGTTCTCTAATACTTTCATTTAGTGTACCTTTAAACAACTGCATTTTGTGACTCTGAATAAACTGAGAAGATAGAAAAATGAGCTGGATCAGCTCATTTTTTAAAAAACATACTGTTATGATTACCATAACATTATCATAATGTACAACAGGGGTCTCCAACTTACGGTGAGTTGTACAATTATTTCACTATATATTACAACGTAATAATAATAGAAATAAAGTGCACAATAAATGTCATGTGCTTGAATCATCCCGAAGCCATCCCCCACCCCCACTCCTGGTCCGTGGAAAAATTGTCTTCCATGAAAACGGTCCCTGGGTACTGCTGATCTACAACATATGACATAACATAATCTATAACTCTAATACTAAAAATTATAATAATGAAGAGATTGCTAATAAATAAATATTTTGCAACATCAAAAGTTACTGGACACTAAATGCAATTTGGTATCCTGGATTGGATTCTGGAACCAAAAAAACTATGTCAATGGAAAAACTGTGGAAATCTGAATAAAATATGTCATTTAATTAGTATTGTACCAATGTGAATTTCTGAGTTTTTACAAATGTCCTGTGATATAACATATAAAATGTTAACATTACTCAAAGCTGGGTGAAGGGAACACGAGACCTCTCTTGGTATATTTATAACTTTTCTATTAATCTAAAATTTTTGCAAAGTAAAAAGCTTAAAAAGTTACTAACAAAATTCAGAAATTCTCAAAACATTTTTAAAAACACAACATTCTAATAAACCCCCCTCTAAATTCTAGACAGAATTACTAATAAAAAGTTAAATATTTATCGTGGCTAATAAGTATAAAACACAAAAGTATGCTGTATATATATTAATCTATATTTATGCCAAGTCATTCCTTTAACGAATATTTATGTAGTACCATTATGCTAAGCAGTTTTTATATAACTTTAAGAAATATTACTAGTTAAATGATTA